TTCTGTAGATTTTTTATGGTTTTCGGATCATAAATTCCATTTTCACAATTCTTAATTCTCTCTCTTTTTTTCCTTTTCATTTTTTTTTTTGAGGCAATCAGGATTAAGTAACTTGCCCAGTGTCACATAGCTAGTCTGAGGTCACATTTGAACTCAGGTCCTCCTGACTCAAGGGCCAGTGCTCTATCCACTGTGCCACCTCACTGCCCCTTCTTAATTCTCTCTTAAAGCATTCAGAAACATCCCTCTGTGGTTTCATGCTCTCTTGGGGAATTCACAAGGTCTTGTGTCTCATCAGGCATTGACTCATTTTCCTTTTTCTTACCATATTTATTCAGAGATGGTTGAACTTGTTTAGATGATCTGAAGGCCATATTCTCTTTTGTTTTTCAATATCTTCCCTGTTTGTTTGTTTGTGTTCAAAGTTTTTAACTGAGTTTTCTTTTTCCTGAGATCCTTGATACTTTCAATCTTTTTCCCTATATTCCTGTAGTACTCACATTCTGCCTTCCCCTTTGATAGTAGTTTCATTGAGGGCTGGACTTCAAACTGTCTTGGCTTCCTCTCATGCTGGGAAATTCTGTTTTAATGAGTTTCAATCTCTTCCCCAAGTGAGTTGTAGGGGGACAGAATTCAGCTTCAGCTGGAGACCAATCCTCTTTCCTTCATATCTGGTGGAGTCCCACACACTGTTGACCTTTCCCAGTTTCCTTTGTTTCTTAGTTCTCTGACTGAGCATGGCTATACTGCAGAAAGGATGCTGCTGACCTCAGTAGAGCAAACTTTCCACTTTTGTGTATCTCTACCTCCTTGGCACAGAATGGAGGAAAGGGGCAAAATTGAGTTCAGCTGCTTGTTGCTTCAGAATGGTAAAATAGGGCAAGACCAGGAGGATAATAGCTGGCAGAAACTATAGCAACAAAAAGAGAATTGGTGAGTGGTTCCCAGAGCACAAGTTTGTGGGTCAGGTTGTGCCATTCTGCCAAAGCATGGAGGATGATAGGGGAGGGTCTGAATGATCTCTTTATGGATTAGGGATTTGATTTACCTGATATTAGTTCATCAAATAGTCAAATACTAATCAAATAGTTAACCAAATACTCATCAGAATTCTTGGTGTCTTAGAAGGTGGAGATAGTTGTACTTGCTTTACTTCTTGCTCACAATTTTTATTTTGGAGAAGTCTGAGAGATCATGAAGATTGGATAAAATGTCTAGCCCTCTATCTTGTTGGTCACATGACTTTGTGATAGTCTAAAGGCCAGATGCTTTGCCTAAAGAGAAGTGGCCTCAAAGCTGTAGCAAATTTTTAATTAATTTTTTTTAACTCTGAACTTAAAAAACACTCCTAAAATGAGGATTTCCATATACATTGTAGAACATAGGAAAATTGTGCATGAAACTGTGAATCTCTATTAAGTAGAGACTGGTTTTCTTTTCTTTTCAAGTATATAATAAATTCAACATGTAACTTTCAAAAATGTCCTGCTTTTTGCCAGCAATTGTTAATTCTCTCCCTTCTTCCTTCTCACCCTCAAAAAAAAAAAGAAAGGGAAAAGGAAAGAAAAAAAAGCATATTAACTGTTCTCCTAGTGCTGGTTGATGGCAATTACTGAATTAAGTGGGTAGAGGAAAAGAGGAAATTATTACTCAGTGTTTATAAAAATGATATTAAAAACTCTTGATATGATTATGAGAGATGATTGATAAGTAAATACTAAATTAGAAAATAAATACTAAAAGTCTACAAGTGGACTGTGGATGTATCTTGGGGGTCTCTGGCAATTTGGGGGTGAGTCTCAGGATCCCTTAGAATATTGGATGTGCCTCTAGGAAAAATCTTTCTTAGAGAAGATAAACAGAGTGAGATTAGATGCTTCCAAAGAAAGGCATGCTTTAATTTGCCAGCTAGCCAGCAAAATTGAGTATAGGTCGTTAGTCAATCAGTAAACAAGTATTTATTAATTACTTACTATATTCCAAGTTCTGTGTTAAGCTGGAGCTACAAAGAAATGTAAAACAGTCCTTGCCCTCAAGAAGCTCAAAATCTAATAGAGGAGACAATATGCAAACAATTATGAACATGTAAGATATATAGAGGCTAATATATACAGGTAAGTTGGGGGTAATTTCAAAAGCGAGGTACTAGAACTAAGATTGACTAAAAGACTATAAAAGGCTTCTGGGAGAAGGTGGGATTTTAGCTGAGACTTGAAGGAAGCCAAAGAATCCAGGAAATGGAGGTGAAGAGGGCAAGCACAGCAGGTATGAGAAACAGCCAGTGAAAATTCTTGGAGCCAGGAAACATAGGGTCTTGTACAAGAAACAACAAGAAGGCCCATGTCAAGTTATTGTAGAGTAGAAAGGAGCAAAATAGACTAGAAAGGCAGGAAGAAGCCAGGTTGTGGAGAGTTTAAAAACCAGAGGATTTTATATTTATCCTGGAGATAGTAAGGGCACACTGTCTGAGTCTGATTGCCCTTCCCATAAAGGCATTTAGCATTCTGGGCTCAGTGATGAAAAAGACATGAAGTGAGACTGTTATTTATCCTACCAACTTAAAAGTAATTATCTTTGTTGGGTATTTTTCCAAATTCAATCAGTAACTCAGAACCATCCATGAACAGGGCTTGTACACTTTCTTTTATCAATCAAAATTAGTGTATAAAAGACTTTATCATAGACCAGGGGATTTGTGTATCAGATTGACATCTGATACATAAATCAGGAAGAACCAAGATAGAGGTTCTGAGGACTGGAAGCAGAAAGGAACAGGCAGCCCCGAGGCAACCACTGAAAAACCAAGAGAAGGTTGAACTGAGTTGTGGCAGAGGTGGGAAAAATCAAGGAGGGTAATCTGCTCTACAGGAATCTCAGAGCAGAAGACCTGAACTGAGAGAGGTCCCAAGAAAAGGTTGAGCTCTTTTCCAAATTTTACTTCCTGGTGCCTGTCTATCCACAGACATGATAATATAATCTACTGTTTTCTTATCCATATGTTTCCAGTAATCTGAATTTTGTCTCAATCACAAAGAGGCCAATCATGGATATATGATTGCAAAATTAGGCAGAGAGCTCAACCTTTGTCAAAAATCAGGATTTCTTATCCAGGGATCTGTGAATGGATTTCAGGAGATCCATGAACTTGGGTGGGGAAAAATATTTATGTTTACTAATCTCAAACTGAAATCTAGTATTGAATTTCCTTCAGGTACAGAGAGGCAATAAGCTATTATTTTGAAGAGTCCACGGGCCTCACTAGACTGTCAAAGGTGTCCATGACACACACAAAAAAAGTAAGAACCATTCACCTAGATATAAGGAATTTCCCTAACTCAGGGCTTGGAGCGATCATAATCAAATTAATATTTTTTTCATCTAAAATAAACTCCTTAAAGCAAGAGAGGAGGGAACTGTATCAATCTTAGAAGCCATTATATCACCCTCTAAGGCTAAGTTGAAAATGACCTAATTGTTGTAACAATTGAAAATGAATACTTGTTGCAACTAATTGACTGGAACAATTTTGAAATCCCACTGTTTTTCACATGGGAAAAAAAAAGACTGCAGGATTGGTTTGGGGGACAGGTGTGGGAGACAGATGGCATCAAGGTAAATCTGTACCCAGAGTATAAACATGATAATACTGCTAATGCGAGTGGATTCAGAATAGTGAGGTCATTTCCACAGCACCTAATCTGGTGGCCTACCTACATATTCCACGGCTTTGGAAGCAGACTCAAATCATGTGACCATAGATAAAGAACTGAAAATTATCATGAAGGTCATCTAGTCCAATGGTCTCCCAACTTTTTTGATCATATACCCCTATCAATAAAAAACTTTCTGAGCACAAACTTCTAATATATGCCTATTTACTTATTTCTAGAATATCTACATGGGTTCTGCCATCTAATATCTCATGTGTATTATAAAAACTACATAAAGCATAGAAATTTCAAAAGGGTCAGATAAAGATTAAATATTTTTAAAAAATAATTTACTTACTACCAGCACAGAAAACCTTTTTCTTCTCACCAAAAATATTTTAAGTGAAAGCAATGTGACTGAACATGCTTCATAATTAAAAAAAAATTCTTATGTATATCCTGAGGTAATGAAAACTTGTAAATAATAATTTTGTTAGTATTCTGGAGGTTGAATTAGAGTACACCTCATGAAGCATGCACCCTGGCCACTTCCAGGGAGATATGAAATTAATGATGAGGAAATAGAGTTTTGGGAGGATGAAGCAACCCCTTGGTCTCTATGGCTAAAACAAAGAGATGTATCCCTAAAAGGGGTGGCCACTGAGCCAGAAAGTGCTGTACACTTTAGCCCACTGAATTTAAAATGGAAGAACAAATCCTACTCTTGTTTTCTTTCTTTCTCTCTGGAGTGTGTGATATAGAGCTTCTCTGGGCTTCTCAAGATGGAGAGGAAAGAGGCCCAAACTAGGGTGATGGTTATGCAGAGAAAAGGAAATGGGTATGAATTGTTTTGATTTTGGTTTTCTAGATAGAAACAACGATTTCCCTATCATTTCCCTGAAGGGCCAACAACTCTCTGTGTTGAAGAAGGGAGTTTAGGAGTTTGTACAGCAGGAGAGGGAGGAGTGGGGACATGTCAGCCAAAGATAGAAGAAAGAGAAGTATAGTTATGTTCTCAACAAACCCCACAAATCACCAGGAGTGAAGGATGTCCCTACCTTCTGATTGATTGACCACACACCCCCTGGGGCCATACCAGGGCTCACTTTGGAGACCACTGCTCTAATACAACCCCCTCATTTTGTGGATAAGGGAACAGAAACCCAAAGAGGTTGCCCCAGGTCACAAGGATATCAAGTAACAGAGCTAGGATTCGAATGGAGGGTCCTCCAACTCCAAATATAGTACTTTCTCTCGACACATCAAAACAAAAGATAGACATACCTGAAATGTGTGAACATTGTCTGAGGACAATGTAGGCCAGAACAAGAGTGACACAGTCATTCAGTCTTTTATGGAGTCATTTGTGAGTAGGGGGAGGATTTATTGGATATCCACAAGGAAAGAGGAAGAGTACATGGGCTTAGAAGGAGAGAGGGGAGTAGAACCAAAATGCAAACAGTAGGCAAACTCCAGGAGAAGCTGGTAGTCATGGAGAAAAAGCCAATTCAAACAGAGAAGGGCATGGCAGTGCTAAGAGGGACCAGAGCTTGGAGTCCACAGGCTGAGCCCCAAAGTGACACATCTATCTTCAGCAGATCCATGCCACAGAACAGAACTAGAGAGACCCAGATGATGGGAGAGGGAGCCCAGCTGTGGCCTTCAATTCTTTACCAGAAATGAAGCCTTGGCTGCAGAAAAGCAACCTTCCCCTCTCCATCTGTGACTCCTACTTGTCAGTCCTCTCCCTCTTCAGTTTTTAGTGTACAGAACATTGGCTCCCAAAAGCAGAAAGTCCTAGAGATAAAAGTACAAAGAAGACAAGTGAAAAAGATCATCCTCTGCTTCCCAAAGAGACATTTAATTTAAGGAGAGACAAGTCATTTCCCTTGGGAACCCTTCAGAAATGGAAAGTCCCATTCTAACTAAAATGAAATCAACCCACAGAGGTCATAAATACTCCCCAGACCCTATGATCTTAGTAAAAACACAGCCTCTGTCAGCTTCTTCCCTATTTATCTGTCATTTTACAAATGGATGCCTTTCTGGAAGACCAGCATAATTTTGCTTTCTGTCACCTAAATTTTCTCTCCCAAGCATACAACAGCAAAATTGTGAGCTGCCTGGCATTACACCCCTGCTCCCTGATTCATTTCCCTTCATGCAGAAGAGAATCTATTTCAAAAACTCAAGGCAATGTCAGCTGTTGTTCACTGTTGGATAATAGCAAGTGGAGACCATTTTCATCTTCATCAGCTTCATCATCATCATCATCATCATGGCAGTTTGGTACTATGGAAAGAATTTTGGCTCTAGAGTCAGAGAACCTGGGTATAAATTCAGCTTCTGAGGCTTAGTAGCTGTATGACTTTGGACAATCAAGCAACAAGCATTTATCAAGTGCCAGTTATATAACTGGGTGAGGTGCTGGAGACATAAAGAGAAAAATTTAATCATCCTGGCTCCCAAGGACCTTGTAGTCTATCAAAAGAGTGAAAACCTCCCTGGGGGCCCAGTTTCCTCATCTGTAAAATAAGGGCACTCGACTAATCGATCTCCAAGGTCTCTTCAACTTGATATCATCACCACCCTGAGTCCGCATCCTAAGTTCCTATTAATTACATCCTTCCAAATAGTGTTCCCAACACAACTGAATAATGCCAGGGTTACCTGATTTTTGCAAAAAAGAAGTAAGAATGTATTTGCTGAATTTCCTTTGGGTACTGAGCTCATATTGCCATTTCTCGATCCAGTGGGTCAGATTAGTTCGATAATGGCTACATGGCATGGAGAATTGATCAGTTTTTTTAATTCTCTTTTGAAATAGAGCTATGTGGACTGGCTATTTATATGTTCCGCATTCCTCATATCACTTCTTGTTCATTCTGTCAGTAAAGGAGTCCAGAAGAGCTGAGAAAATGCATCTCCCTACCTTCTTTGCAGAGCTGAGAGGTCAGATTCAAGTTATGTGTTTGGTTTGCTGAACTGCTCTTTCTTTCCTTTATCATTTGTTACAATGGATGGCTTGTTGGAAAGGGGAGGAATATTATTAGAAATAAAGGTGAAAATAAAAGATATGAATATCTTTTCATATCTGGGTACCTCCTCTGTACCGTTGTTGACAGAATGGACTAGGAGTATGGAATATTGCATATAATGTCAAATTTAACTGATAGTGCTTAACTTTGCTGACCTTTCTCCCCATCACCTCCTTATTCATTCTTTATTATAAGGGATGGTTCACCAGTTGAGGGAAGACGGAAGGAAACATTGGGAAACATAGTTTACGTTAACAACAAAAATAAAAAAGGTGCTAATATTTTTTAGAAGTCCAAGGACCCTGGTTTGAAATGGGTTTCAGAAGGGATTTCAAGCTCTATCCCTATCCCTACTTCCTGGGTCCCAATTCAGTTTAAGGTTCTTTTACCGGTCCAGAAGTTCCAGTTCCTAATTCTTGTTACCCATGGGAGACCAGGGAGAATATGCCTCTGAATCTGAGCCACTTGGTGGGGCCAAAGCAGGTGTGGCCCTACCAGAAGACAGGCAGATAGCACCATGGGACACGACTATAAAAATGCATTCAGATCAGTCCCCCAATGCCCCTCTTAACAGCAGCCTAAACATCTGAACTTAATTCTTCCTTGAGATTTCCTGTGCTGCCATTCCCTACACACACACACACACACACACACACACACACACACACCCCACACACCCAATCCCATCTTCTACTCTTGCTCATGGTCCCTGAAAAGGGCCCATCAACCATACCCCTACACACTTCTCCTTCTTAGGGTTCAGCGTCTTCTCACTGACCTGATAAGGTTGAACAAGGAGGTCCTGCAGTTGAATATTTCTTGGCAAAGGGAGAGGAAAACCTATCTCCAGATTTTCTGAAAATTACCACAGAACAGAGAAAGCTGTTACATAGAGAATACAAGAAGGGTAGAGTGATCACCAAGTGTTACATTTGTTCTATAAGGTAAATAGAGCCCACCTCCTATCCACTTTCATACTTCTTCAGAAGTTGTAAGATTTTTATAAGTGTGGGTGTTAGTCCCTCCACCAATGCTGATTACAACCCCTCCAGGTGATAAGCTTCCCCACATTTAACTAAGCTGGCCACTGGGCCCATACTCAAAGCCTTTCTACCTTGGCTAGACACGGAAGAGTCTGTGCTCAGCTTTGCCAGCCTTTGAGATCCCAGTGGATACTCAACACACCAAGGAAGGCATCAGATTTTTCCCAAACCCTTCCCCACTCCCCATGAGGCACTTGGTACTTCTCAAAAGCATTCACATTTATAATCTCAGTGAATGCCACAAATGTTCTGAGAAGAAAGCAAGGCAGGAGGGGTTCCTAAACCCATTTTACAGATGGAGAAACTAATGATTTGCTTAAGGTAAAGTGAGAAGCAGAACAGGGACTTGAACTGAGGTCCCTTGACTCCCTGATCAATCCCCTTTCCACTTTCCCAACCCAAAGCGGACAGACTAAAAAAGTCTTCCTAGCTGCGTCTTACCATTGACAGCAGGTAACAGGGTGCTCATAGCATAGTAATTCAGGATTGCCTGGATTAAGGGTACCTGAGGGAGGCAGGAGATGCAGAATGAGCACACACATGACGTATGAACTGAGCCAAAAGGAACGAAACAGAATCAGGAAAACAACATTGATAATGACAACAACATAAATAGACAAAAAAAAAAAAAAAAAAGAAACCCAACCCTGAAATGGAACACTATGTGATTATGGCTAAATTTGGTCATGAAGAAGGAATGATAGAATGCACCTCCCTCTATTACAGAAGTGAGGGACTGCGATATGAAATACAAACTCAATCGAAATGTTGGTTAGCTTTGGGGAACTGGTTTTTACCCTCTTTTGTTTCTCTTGTTCCTGAGTTTAAATCTGGCCTTAGATACAAGCCCTGCCCTCTCCAGGAAGCTTTCCCAAATCCCTCCACCACATCCTAATTGACTCTGAGCTCCCAAGACACTGATTATCTGCTCCTTCACAAGACCTTTACTGGTCTCCTTACTCAGCAACGATCTCCTCCTTCCAATCCCAGATCTCCCACAACACCTTGTTTCCACCTTTCTAACATTTACCAGTAATGTTGTATATTATAGTTCTCCATATTTGTATTTTGTTCCTTCCTAAACTGTGGAGCTCACTGAGGGCAGGGACCAACCATGTCCTTTCTAAACTCTCGCCCCTTCCCCCCTCACTTTATATTGCTCTGCATACAGTGAGCATTTAATACACATATGCTGAATAAATGAATATATGTGCTCATGTATTCATTTTTAACTATTTATCCTATACTAGTTTATGTTGTTACGTAACTTCTTCCTGCTTGCATGCCCCATCTCCCCAATTAGACTGTGAGGCTGTGGCCCAAAAGGAAAGACTAGATCTCTTCCTCCTGGCTTCCCCGTACCATAACCCAGAACAGAAGCGGGCACTGAAGGGAGCTCAAGAAAGATGTGTAGAATGAATGACAAAGAAAGAATATAACTTACATTGATTGGGCCAATGTCTGAGTGCTTTAGTTCCATGGTAAGTGAACTATGAGAGGAAAGGGAGAAGGATATGAGTTACCTCACAATGTAGGGTTTGCTACTACATGGACTAGCTATGCAATATATGGGTGACCTCCCTGCCCCCACCCCAATCCCACCCCTGCAGAATGCCTGGTAAGGGTGTGTCTGGCATCGTCAGGCCAGAGTGCTTGGAGTTCTAGGAATGAAACTTTCTTGCTCACGTTAGTTCCCGCGTTCCCTGAAGAGTTCTAGACTTTAAGAAAAGGCATCAACACTTGAGGACGGAACAAAGTTAGACATGCTTCAGGCAAAATTAATATTTACTTAGAAAAGTGACCTTGCTTAGAGAAGGTCTTTAACAGGCCTCCATCTGACTGAGGCAACACCCATTCGGTGATTAATGCTAAATAAGAAATGAGGTAGAGAATGGCCTCTTTACCTAATCAAAAAAAAAAAAAAAGTTGCTCTAGGAGTGGAAGATATAGTAGGCACTTAATAAATGTTCATTGATTATTAATTGATTGGTTTCCCCTTGTTAGGGGTCTTCAAAAGAAGGCCAAGTGTGCACTTATCAGGGATACTATAAAGGGATTCCTGTTCAGGTACAACTTAGAGTGGATGCTGTGGGAGGTTCCTTACACACTGAAATTCTAAGATTAGGACCTAGAGTGGTGGAATGAGCCCAAAGAACTTAAATTTCATTAAGTTTTTGCTGGCACTGAACTTGTCCATTCCTTTAGAGGAAATTTCACAGGTTATAAAGTCTTATTGAAAGCATACTTTCTTTTCTTGGAATAGGGACCACCCCAGAAAATCCAGAGTGTTTGACTGCCAAACCCTCCCCTCACTGTCCACCCATCACATCACTCTTAGAAGATATTGAGCTAGAAAACCCCAGAAAGAGCACAGAGGTTGGTGAGACATAAGGGAGGAAGATTACGCTCGTGGTGGGATCAGAAAGACACTAATTTTCTTTCCCACAGTGTGTTGATAGTGGTAACATAATGGAACTATTTACACTGTCAAGTCTCCGCTCCTAGGGGATCAGTCACAATTTTCCACATCAAAGTGTGGAAAATTGAAATTACATGGTTAGGGAATAAAACGAGAGGACCATGAGAAAACCCCTCCCTTGCCTCTTACCTTCCGGGGGTCACAGAGGACACAATTCTGTTGCCATTCACACCTATGGTGGCCCAGACGGTGGTTGTCTAGGAATAAGGAACAAAATTGTTAACACCTACACTTAGCCTGTGAAAAGAAAGCCAGCGCAGGGATCTGGTGAATCCTCTGGGAATGGAACTTAGTGAGAAGGGAGTGGGGCAGATCGTAAAGTAGCATCTGTATAGTCCTAGGAGGTTAGAACTGAAAGGAACCTTAGAATATAGCATAGATATGGATGGAAATAAATAGCTATCTAGATATAAATGATATAGATATATAGAAAAATGAATCAAATCTTAGAACATAGCAAGTCAGGACTGAAAAGAGTATAAGAAGACAGGACTAACTTTTTATATATTTTCACTAACTTTTAACTGAAATTTAGTATTTTCTTCAATTGCTAATTTAAAAAACAGCATGATTCTGAGAAAGGGGTCCACAGCCCTCACCAGACTGCCTAAGGGGTCCATAGCACAAAAGAAGTTAAGAACACACAATCTAGTGTTTTTTATATTTTACAGTATGTTCATTTTACGGCACATTTTACAATATGTTCAGGGACTATTTTGCCTGAGGTCTCAGTAAATTAGTGTTGTAGCCTGGTCTGAAACCTAAGTTAGAATCATTAGATTTGGAACGATGGGAAATGGATTTCGATACTGATTTGACAACTTCCTATATGATCTTGGACAAATCACTTGACTTCCGTGGACTTCAATTTCCTCATCTGTAAAATAGGAGTGCTGAATTAAATGATTCATAAGATCTCTTAAAACTCTAAATCCTGCCAGTAGAGGTCTTGCACCCATCATCTCTGCTGTTGAGGGAGGCTGAGTCTGGGGAATCATATAAGCTGGGGAGGTCTGAGCTTCAGTGGGGCTAAAATTGATGGGGTGTCCACACTAAGTCTGTTGCTAATATGGTGAACAGAGGAGACCGCCTGACAAAGGAGGGTCGAACCAGCCCAGGCCAAAAATGAACAGGTTAAAGGTTTCATGTCAATCAACAGTGGTGCTGTCCCATAAGTGGCTACTACACTCCCAGCCTGAGATAAGAAGAGCCAATCTCAAAACAAACAAAAACTCCTCTAAATCCTATGATCCTATGTATATCAGACCAATGTCTTTTTTCTCTATCATGCTATCTACAGATTAATAATTTTTATGCAAAACTCTTTTTAATATGGCAATATTGTGGGGGGGTGGCTTTCAACAAAATCATAATTAAGGAGGCAAGCATGCCCTGACTTTGCAATTAACCACATGTATGTAATCCAGGTAATTCAGACAAGAAAGGCAAAAATTAGGCACCCCTGTCTACCTGGTAGCAGCTTACCCAAACAACAGGAATGATGCCTAGAAGAAAGTAATTCCAGAAACTTTGCAAACCTGAATCAGTGACAGCGAATGTCACTACCATTGAGGGATGTTCTACACCTAAAGAATTTATGAACCAATCCTTCCCATATTGACTAGCCCCAGACTGACCACACTGAGCAAGAAGAGAGGCACCCGGAGGGAATTGGGTTGGACGACAAAGGCCTGGAGGTCCATCACTGGTGTCAAGGTCACATTTCCTGGACTGAAGACCATGACAGGAGGAGAAGATGTCGTTACCTGAAGTTCCATTGGCATATTGGGATACAGCTTGCCCAACTGCAGAGGTAAGAGAACACATTAAGGGCAGTCAAGGGCAAGAGCAAAGGGAAAGGGATGCATTGCAGGCCTCAGACAAAGTCATCCCCCCAAGTTCTCTAGACAAGTAAGTCTTCAATTTTCATAATCTTTTGAAGCAAAATAATAATATCACACCTTCAACTATATCAGCCCATATCCCAAGATTAAGCTACTGGTAATGGGAAGGTAAAGAAAAAGAGAATTAGAATTTATATAGTGACTGCTTTGTGCCAGGCACTATACTAAATGCTTTACAAATATTATCTCAATATATCCCTGCAAGGTAGATACTGTTACTTTCCCCATTTTGCAGTTGAGGAAACTGAGGCAGACAGTGAATGACTTGCCAAGGGTCACACAGCTGGATTTGAACTCAGGTCTTCCTGACTCCAGGCCCAGCTCTTTATCCACTATACCATCTAGCTGCTAATTCTTAGTAGTAGACAAAGAAAAAAAATTAGAATTAGTATTCACATCTTCCTATCAATGTCTATCTGTTATGTTTACTCTAAAGTCAACCTTGGTCACATTAGTCAAGAGAATTGAGTAGAGTTTGCTCTTGTCCAAGGACTTGCATCCCGATGCCAGCTTTACTACTTACCATATGAGTGACCTTAGGTAATCCACTTAATTTCTCAGGACCCTAGTTTCCTCATTTATGAAATGAGGGGATTAGACTGAATGAGCTCAAAAGCGGTTTCCAGCTCTACATCTATAAAGTGCTTTACTGGAAATTAATTTGTTTCAACAATAGCCTATACCCACAGAACTATGGTTGCCCAGGAGGCAGTGGATAGAGTACTGGGCCTGAAGTCAGGAAGACTCATCTTCCTGAGTTCAAATCTGACCTCAGATGCTTACTAGCTGTGTGACCCTGAGCAAGTCATTTAACCCTGTTTGCCTCAGTTCCTCATCTATAAAATGGACGGGAAAAGGAAATGGCAAACCACTCCAGTATCTTTGCCAAGAAAACCCCAAATGGGGATCTGAAAAGTCAGACATGACTGAAAAATGACTGACCTGAAGGAGGCTAAAGGACTTTCTTTCTTTCTGGGACCACTGAAGGTTTGAAAGGAAATGGAATTGTTTTGAGATTACATGAGTTTGTCTTACTCCTTTTGAAAATTAGTAGAGGGCGGATCTTACCTGAGGGACCAGAGCTCGGAAAGAGGAGGTGATCAGTCGGATTCGGAAACTGGATGGGATCTGGACCAAAAGAAGCATAATAGAAGTTAGAATCGGTGCAGAACTCAGAGCACTCCTGCTAAGAAGGCAAGATCGTCAGTTGGCTAGAGTGGAAGGACTTGAAATGGGCTGATGGTTAGCAGCCTACCTTTCTCCCTGCAACCAGTGAGTGTTGCTGTGGTAACTGGGGAACAGCATCGAAATTAAGGAAAGGGAAGGGACTCCCCACCAAAATCCAACATGTTCCCAACCCCCATCTTGACTTCCTGGTTGACTTTCTTAAAGGAGATAGATGGTCTAGAGAAAGATATATTTTCATGAGTATATAGGCAACTTTCTTTGCAGTTGATATACAGCCCTGGAGTTTATTGTGAGCAATATTGTGAGGAAGTCTTTATAAGACATTCCTTCTGAGAAGCCCTAAAGACAAGACACCAAAGGCCTTCTCCCTCAGCTTCCCTGTCATCCTCTACCCCATCCTTAGGCTTCTGGATAAGGTGAGATTTTCTCTGTGAAAAAATATAAGGCCCTTATGCTACTACCCCTTTCTTAGGAAAATGTTGGGAATAATTTCCCAGAGACCATAAAGAGCCTATTCCAGAATTTTGACTAGCCAGGTTCACCCCACCTTGAAGGTCTCCATAGCCCCTACCCCAACTCAAATTCACCTTCTTACCCCAATCCATAGTGATCACAGAATCCTAGAACCTCAAAGATATAAAGGAATTTCATCTAGTTCAACCCCTGCCTGATCCATGCGTTTATGTATATATAGCGCTCTCTCTCTCTCTCTCTCTCTCTCTCTCTCTCCTCCCAAGATAGTATGTAGGACTGACTATCCAATTCACCCACAACATAGGAACCATGGACTGACCTGGATGAGGGAAAGAACTACCTTCCCCTCTTTTAAGTCACGTGACCCTGAGAAACAGGCATGGGGTTTTGTTTAGTTTAATTTGTCCTTTTCAGTTCTAGCTGCAGGCAGTGGAATTCCTGGATCTGTACTCAAGCCATGGTGATCTTAGAGACAGGATTCCAGGCTGAGTATTGTAGCTGACCCAACAAGGAAGCTTGAGAAGCCAGGCTTACTGGAACTCAGACCCAAGGAGAGCTTTGGACTTGGAATATAGTGGGATTAAGCTATATAGGATCTGGGTTAAGCTATGAACCTAATCCCCCTAACCCTGCTCAGATAGTGGGGTGGTACAAGAATACACTCCCACATATTGAGACTCTCTCAACCCTTTTAAGAGTACCAGTGAACCCCAGGGAAGGGGTGCAATGTAACATACATGGTCTTCAGGGGGTCACTGTTACTTGTATTTTGTATGTACATAGTTATTTGCTTATTGTCTTCCCCATTAGAATGTGAGCCCTCCATGGTCAGGGACTGTTTTTTCCTTTCTCTATCTCTCCAATACTTAGGAAAATGCCTCATAGTAAGTGTTTAATAAATGCTCATTGACCCAATTGATTTTTGTACTTTCCCTTCCCCCTTGAACTGTAAGCTCTTTGAACGATTTATACTATAACATTAATATTGTAAAAATGAGCAATTTTGCAAGACTTAAGTACAGTAGACAAACAATGACAAGCCACGATCCCAGAGGACCAGTGATGCACCTTCTGACACACAGGGGATGGACTCAAGAGAAATAAGGAGACATATTGTTGTTGTTGTTCATGGCCTATATAGAAATCTGTTTTCCTTGAGTTGGAGAAAGGGGAGGGAGAAAATATAATTTCCTGATAACTGGAGAGAAAAAAACCCAAAAACTAAGAATGCAAAGTGCTCCGGAGCCAATGTCTTATCTATCTTTGTTTCTTCCAGATCTGTAATTCTAGGAATTCTATAAATGCTGTTCCTTGGTGCTGATGGAAGGATAGTGGGACTTTAGTCCCAATACAATCAAACTCTAGTTGTACCTTCTGCCTCCAGAGGTCACTTCCTCCAAACCTCCTTCCTTACCATGTCATCTGTGATGGTGTAGTTCAAGGTCCCTGCCTCCCAGTAAACTTGACTAGCAGTATTGAAGACGCTATCAGAAATTCCAAAGTAAACCATGAGGTCGTGGTCTTCAGGGAGGTTCATAGCAGGAGGTTCAAAGGGAACAGGGGATTGATGACTTTGCCTGAAAAACTCACCCTGCAGAAAGAAATATCATTAGCCAAGGGCTCTTGCCTAAAAACAGAATGTACCTAAATCAAGCCCAGAAATCAGCTTTCTAAGGTCATACGAATACACAGAGTAGGTGGTCACCCATATGGTGTGATATGAAGGTTGCCTTAAATGACTGGCAAACTCTCTGCAAATTCTCCTTCCCTAGTGGCCTGGAACTCTAACCATTAGAGATCCATTCCTTTATGCTAAAGTGTAGTCCTGCTGTCTCAAAGCTTCAGTTTTCTCTTCTATAAAATAGAATTTGAACTGTCCACCTCACAGGGTGAGGCAGTGAGGAAAATGTTTCATAAATCTTAAAATGCTACAGAAATGTAAGTTATTATTGTTGATATGTCCTGAATAAATGCAACCATCCCTAGAGATCATTACATACCTAGTTACAGCATACAGGTAGATACTTTCTCATACTCATAAGGTCAGAACTGCCTGGAAAATAATTCATTTATGCAGTGCTTTGAGACTTACAAAGTCTTTTCTTCCTAACAACTCTATGACATAAGTAGTGCTAGAACCTTTTACAGATAAGGAAACTGAGGCTAACAGAAGCCAATTGCCTTGCTCATCACATAGCTAGTATGTTCTGGAGCTAGGATAGGACCAAAGTCTTCTGACATCACTTCCAGTGCCATTTCCTCATACCTCAGCTCCTGGGACCCTGAAGATGGGAAGACCCTGGGGTTACAAGTGATATCTGAAAAGCCACCAAGGATCTTGACCTTCTCTGGACCCATGACCACAGAACAAGTCAGTGAGCAAGTGAGGAAGTCTATAACCCAGGTCTCCCAGCTCCCAGGGTGGCTGCATACCTCAAAGGTTGTGATGTGCTCTGGGGCAGAGCTGATGAGAGATAGAGTCTCCCAGAGTGGAGAGCACCTAAAGATGGAATGGCCTCAGAAGTCTCCTTGTCCAACTCATACCTAAATCATGAATCCCATCTTCATCATTCTTAACAGATATATGATGTATATAACTTGATCTATTTCTTTTGTCTTGCTTCTTTTTCTTAAAGTTAATATGTAAACTGACATTTTTCTTAAAGTTAATATGTAAACATATAAAAATTCAATTCAACAAACACTGAAAATTCATTGTAAACATGTAAATTTCAATTCAGCAGATATTTGTGTGCAAGATTCCATGTGAGGTATTAGGGATAAATCAAAACTTATCAGTCCCTCCCTCGAAGGAATTTATTTTTATTGGGGATGAGGGAGAAAGGATGCAATGTAAACACAGATAAATATGATAGGTGTAGGGATTGAAGAGGGCAGCTAGGTGGCACAGCGGGTAGAACATTGGGCTTAGGATCTTCATTAGTTCGAATCAGGCCTTAGACATTTATTAGCTGTGTGACCCTGGGCAAGTAGTTAAGTGACTACTTAACCCTGTTTGCCTCAGTTTCTCACCAATAAAATGAGCTGGAGAAGGAAATGGCAAACTACTCCATTATCTTTTCCAAGAAAACCCAAAAAATGGAGTCACAGAGAGTCAGACATGACTGAAATGCCTGAACAACAACAACAGATTGGTGAGACCAAGTGCACTCAGAATATTTGAGAGCACCAAGGGCCAGATGGATTAAGAAAAGCTTTACACACAGAGAGAGATACTTGGGCTTTGACTTTAAGGAATATGCTATGATTTAGAAGAGCAATAATAAAAGAGGGAAGGCATTGCAAGTAGAAAGGAAGGCTTATGTGGGGGAGAAGATGGGATGTTAGGTTTGGGCAATCACCAAGAACTCAGTTTGGCTAAAGTGTAGAATGCATGAAGGGGAATAGTATAAAGTAAGTCTGGAATGTTAGTTAGTGTCTAGATTACAGATTTCAGGACATCTTAAATGTCAAGTGAACGAATTTTTATTTAGTGTGGGATCATAGATCTTGAACTAGAAGTGACCCCAGAAGTAATCCAGTCTAATGCCTTCATTTTACAGATTGGAAAACAGACCCAGGGAAGTTCAGTGCTTTGCCCCAGGTCACATAACTAGGAAGCATCAGAGGAGGCATGTGAACCCAAAACCTGTGACTTCAAAGTCAGGCCTCTTTACATTGTAATTTTATTAAATCAATATTTCAATCACTGTCTTTAAAATGGTTCTATTTTATAGACAAAGACATTACTGACTCTCTCTCTCTATTCACATCTAGGAAAACAAAAAATTTTCATAGCTGGAATCTACATATTTTCAAAATGTTTCATCCACATTATCTCTTTTGAGCCTTTACCACAATCCTAAGAGGGAAGCACTATAGTACAGATACTATTATGCCCATTTTACAGATGAGGAAATAGAACAATTAAGTGACTTGCCTGAGGTCGTATAGCAAGGGGGAATAAAGGATAAAATTCAAACTTTGTTTTTTGTTGTTTTTTTTTTTTACTCCAAATCCAATACATAGAAATCCTATGCTACCCAAATCAGACACCACTGTCTGCCTATTGGCAGAAAATTGGAGAAAAAACCTGAGAAAATTAGAATTGAGTTTGAGTTCTAGCTATATATAACCTATTAGGTATGTGACCTTGGGTGAGTCACTTACTGCCTACAAGGCTGTTTCCCCCATGCCTTGAGCAGATTCTCCCACTACTACCACCACCTGATATCCTCCCTAATTTCTTGATTAAGTCTTTATTATCCTTCAAGACTCAGTGCAGATGTTACCTCTTTCATGATGCCTTCCCTAACTCACCTAGTTTGACCTTTCCTATGTACATAATTACATCCTAATGTATTCTGGTTAAACATGTCTCATCTCCCTGCTATTCAAGGCCTTGAGGTGGCTGCCAGATTTCCAGGCCTAACTCACATCCTGGGAGTTCCCCCACACCTGGCTGTGCCCACTCTGACTGGGCACCACTAGGCTAGTAGCAGATATCTGTGTGTGTTCTCTAGGAGGTATGCTGGGTCATGACTTCAGAACACTCACAGTGAAGCATGTCTGACCCCCTCAGCAAAGAGGGAATATATTATGGTTATAGAATGAGGGATACTCTTAAAGACACGGCAACCGTGCTTATTTGATATGAGAAGGGATTTTTGAAGCAGCTAGGTAGCACAATGGATAGAGTGCTGGACCTGGAGTCAAGAAGATCTAAGTTCAAATCCAGCCTCCCCTTATTATCTATGTAGCAAATTAGCTAATATTTGTAAAGTGCTTAGCATAGTGTCTGGCACAGAGAAGGTGTTCGTTCCCTTTCATTGTTCATTGTACAACCCTGGACAATTCATTTATTCTCTGTCTGACTTAGTTTCTTCATCTGTAAAATAGGGATAATAGCAGCACCTACTTTCCCTGTTTATTATGAAGATTAAACGAGATAGGGGGCAGAGCCAAGATGGCAGAATAAAAGCAATGACTTGTTTGAGCTCTCCCCCAAACCCTCCAAATACCTGTAAAAAAATGGCTCTAAACAAATTCTAAAGCAGCAGAACCCACAAAAAAAACAGAGTAAAACAAATTTCCAGCCCAAGACAGCCTGGATGGTTGATCAGAAAGGTATATCGCCCCAGGCCAGGAGAGGAGCGCAGTTTGGCATGAGCACGCAGGCCACAGCAACCCTAGAGCAGGCCTCAGAGGACTGAATCTCGGGCAGCTGTGGTGGTTTCCAGACTTCTCAACCCAGGAATGCCAAAGACAACATGGAAGGTCAGTGGGAAAAGTCTGTGACTGCAGTGAGAGAGGAGCTAGGTCTCAGGCACAAGTCTCAAGCGTGGCCTAGAGCAGTGACTGTTTGCTGAGCTTCTGGCCCACAAACTGAGGGGGAGTCAAGTGGCTGATCAGAGGGGGATTGCAAGGATCTCTTTGCCAGTGCTGAGGCAGGAATCTCTTGCTTTGCCCATGCTTGGATCTGGGTCACAGTTCTGAGGGGCAGTCCTGGGGCGAGGAGCACTGGCGTGGTAGAGAGAAAACACCTCGCTCGCCCCTTATCATACCACCTTGGAAGAAGTGAAAACGTACAGGTCCCTAGAAGTATCTCTGAAAACAGCTGTACAAACCTCCAAAGCTTGGGACAGTACACTCTTCACACTGGAAGCAGACATTTACCTTAACAAAGAGTTTAAAACTCAAGTAATTGGCCAGGATCATGAGTAAGCAGCACAAAAAGAGTCAGACTATATTGTCTTACTTTGGTGACAAAGAAGATCAAAACATACAACCAGAAGAAGACAACAAAGCCAAAGCTCCTACATCCAAAACCTCTAAGAAAAATATGAATCAGTTCCAGGCCTTGGAGGAGCTCAAAAGGGATTTTGAGAAGCAAGTAAGAGAAGTAGAGGAAAAACTGAGAGTGATGCAAGAAAATCATGAAAAACAAGTCAACAGCTTGCTAAAGGAGACCCAAAAAAAAAATACTGAAGAAAATAAGACCTTAAAAAATAGCCTAACCCAAATGGCAAAAGAGGTCCAAAAAGCCAATGTGGAGAAGAATACCCTAAAGAGCAAAATTGGCCAAATGGAAAAGGAAGTCCAAAAAATTACTGAAGAAAATACTTCCTTAAAAATTAGAATGGAGAAATTGGAAGCTAGTGACTTTATGAGAAATCAAGACACTGTAAAACAAATCCAAAAGAATGAAAAATTAGAAAACAATGTGAAATATCTCATTGGAAAAACAACTGACCTGGAAAATAGATCCAGGAGAGAGAATTTCAAAATTATTGGACTATCTGAAAGCCATGATCAAAAAAGAGCCTAGACATCATCTTTCAAGAAATTATCAAGGAAAACTGCCCTGATATTTTAGAACCAGAGGGCAAAATAGAAATGGAAAGAATCCCTACCGATCTCCTCCTGAAAGAGATCCCCAAAGGAAAACTCCTAGGAATATTATAGCCAAATTCCAGAGTTCCTAGGTCAATGAGAAAATATTACAAGTAGCCAGAAAGAAACAATTCAAGTATTGTGGAAACACAATCAGGATAACAAAAGATTTAGCTGCTTCTACATTAAGGGACCGCAAGGCATGGAATATAATATTCTGGAGAGCAAAGGAGATAGGATTACAACCAAGAATCACCTACCCAGCAAAACTGAGTATAATCCTGCAGGGGAAAAAATGATCATTCAGTGAAATAGAGGACTTTAAAGCATTCTTGATGAAAAGAGCTGAATAGAAAATTTGATTTTCAAATACAAGACTCGAGTGGAACATGAAGAGGTAAGCAGGAAAGAGAAAATCATAAGAGATTTATTAAGGTTGAACTGTTTACATTCCTGCATGGAAAGATGATATTTGTAACTTGTGAGACCTTTGCCAGTATTAGGGTAGTTGGAGGGGAAAAAATTATATATACCTATATATAGATATAGATAGACAGATAGATAGAGGGCACAGGGTGAGTTGAAGATGAAGTGATCGTATCTGGAGAATAAAATTAAGGGGTGAGAGAGGATTATACTAGGAGAAGGAGAAAGGGAGAGGTAGAATGGGATAAATTATCCCACAAAAAAAAAAGCAGAAAAGAAAAAGCTCTTACAGTGGAGGTGAAATGGGGGAGGGTGAGAGGGAATGAGTGAATCTTATTCTCATAGGATTTGACTTGAGGACGGAATAACATACACACTCAATTGGATGTGGAAATCTGTTTTGACCTACAGGAAAATAGGGGGGGAAGGGGACAAGAGAATAGGGTGATGATAGAGAGGAGGGCAGATTGGGAAAGGTGGTTATCAGAAGCAAATACTTCTGAGAAGGAACAGGGTCAAAAGAAAGAATAGAATAAATGGGGGGGCAGGATAGGATTAAGGGAAATAGAGTTCGTTTTTCACAGTATGTCTACTATGGGAGTGTTTTGTATAACTGCACATGTATAATCTATATTGAGTTGCTTGCCTTTTCAATGAGGGTGGGTGGGGTGGGAGGAAGGGAGAAAATTTAGAACCCAAAGTTTAAAAGACACATGTTTTAAAAAAATGTTTTCACATGCAACTGGGAAATAAGAAATACAGGAAATGGGGTACAGAAATCCATCCTGCCCTACAAGAAAATTGAAGGGGAAGGGCATAAGAGAAGGGGGGGGAGAGATAGAAGGGAAGGCAGACTAGGGGAAGGGGTATAGAATGCATGTCATCTTGGGGTGGGAGGAGGGGTGAGACAGGGTGAAAATTTGGAACTCAAAATCTTGTGGAAGTAAATGTTGAAAATAAAAAAATAAATAAAAATTACCATTAAAAAAAAACAAGAAAATTAAGAAAAATAAGAAAAAAGACAATTAAAAAAATAAAAAAAATTAAATGAGATAGCATATTACAGTGTTTTATATGCCTTAAAGTACTATATAAATGCTATCATCATCATCATCATTTTTGGAGAGTCTTTGGTAAATAACCAAGATGTAAAAAAGAACATAACAAAACTCATATTTGGAAAGCAGAAAACAGTAAGGGGATCTTGAAAAGGATAGGAAGTGAGGCATAAAGACCATGTCTCCTGTCTCCCCTTACAGTGCCTAGTTCCAGAGTCTGCATACTGCAGGTCCTCAGTCAATGATTCAGACTGAGCGATGGATAGCAAGACAGCCTGGTAACTGGGGAAATGATTTCTCCAGCCATGCTCTTTGAGCAGAACAGGTCCAATATTCAGGAGGCTTCTCATACCACCTTAGCTTCTCAAAGTCTGCTTTGAGAAAGGGCTCCTCACCTTAAAGGGTGTGTCCAAACTGTAACATGTGGCCTGGGGTGGCCCAACCAGGGCATAATCCATGCCGGCAATGTTGTCAATCTTGACTATGACTAGAAACCAAGAAAGAGAAACATAATTAGGGTCTACCTCTTAACTCACAGCATTCTAGTGTGTTGTGTCTGACTTGTGGGTCCCACAAGTCCCACATAGAGCTTAGATGATCCCTATTGCGTCAAAAGTGGTCAATGTATCACCAACACTCTAGTCCCCCATTCTGTATATTATCTCTGGAAACTTTATAGCATCATAGACAGATATATTAGCTGTCTATCCTAATCACCTGCTCCTCCAGGCCTAGCTGCTCAGGATATGATGGTTCTATCTTAAACCATATGACAGAGAAGAGTCTTCATTGACCACTTCTGTTTAGGAATAGCTAGGTGCTAATTCCTCCTTGAAGCCTTTCCTGACTCCTCTTGAGGAAATCAACCTCTCTATCAGAGTTGAGGGCATGCCCTTCCTTCCCTTCAATGAAAGGGTAGGGGATTATGGGTATGGAATATTGCATATACTCTCAAATGTGATTGATGCTTTGGTCAATTTTGCCAAACTTTTTTTTTCTTTATTTTTTTGTCTCTTTTTCTTTTTAAATTTGTTTATATTTACCTATGTGCAGAGAAGAAATATATAATACTTGATAGAGAGCTAGTCTTGAAGCCAGGAAAGTCTAGTTGTGAGTCTTGCCTGTTACACGTACTGGCTGTGTGACTGCAAATAAGCCACTTAACCTCTCAGTGATCTCAGCAACTCTCTAAGGCCCTAAGTTTTAGGGAAGGTGCTGGCCTGCACTGGTAGAGGGAGTTTCCTTATTCAGAAGCCTCCTATATCAATGAAATCGCAGGCCCAGTTCTTGTCTCTATCATGTAGTCCTAGATCCCATGACCTTTCGAAAGGACCTCCCTTCCTGCCCAGGTTTAGAAGAGATATTATAATCAATGAGTTTCCAATCAATGAGCAGGAGAATTGAGCTCATTATTTAAGCCAAACATAAATAGGAAGAGAAATCTGGTGTGATTTAATTCCCAAATACATTCTAAATAAGCTTTGTATCCTTCAAGGTTTATTTCATCTGTGCCCCAACCTCCATCAAGGATAACTTGAAGCGTGGCACTGTATCCTCCACTTCTTGCATGGAATCCAAAAATAGTCTGTGGAATCAAGCTAGATCCATACCTGGGAGACTGTGAAGATAGGGTTGGAGGTCTGAAGCAACTGACTTCTTGACTATCTCGCAGATCTAAGGAAAGTGAAACAGGTCACAGAATCAGAAGCAGCTGCGGGGAAGTATCTAGAGATTTGTCCTGGGAGCAAGAGGCTAGGGCTCAAGGCCTGCCCTTGACATGTATTGACCATGTAATCCTGGCTAAGTTATGCAACCTCTCAGTGCTTATTATGAGGTGAAGAGAAGGGGGCAGCCTGCGTGATTAGAGGGACTTTCCTCATCTGGGAGTTCCCCATAACAATGAAACCATAGATCCAAATCCGATCAGAGAGCCAGAGATGATTAGAACCTGAAGGGACCTTAGGGTCCAACTCCCTCACTCTACAAATGGGGTAACTGAGGCCCAGCAAAGGAAAGTAATTTGCCCAAGTTCATTCACATGGTATGTTATCTGTATAACTGGGACTGGAATCCAAATCTTCTTACTCCCTTTGCAGAGTTCTTTCTACTACAATTCTGATCCATCCTTTTCAGCCCTTTGCCCTCCCTAATAGTATTTTCTTTCTTTTTTTAAAAGACTATTTTAGGGACAGCTAGGTGGCCCAGTGGATAGAGCACCGGCCCTGAAGTCAGGAAGACCTGAGTTCAAATCTGGCCTCAGACCAAATACTTGACGCGTATTAGCTGTGTGACCTCGGGCAAGTCACTTAACCCCAATTGCCTAAAAAAAATAAAATAAAAGAGTATTTTATTTTTTCCCAATTATAGATAAAGACAATTTTTAACATTCTTTTTTAAAAAATTTGGTTATTTTCTTAGAGCAATGCTGAGAGACAGTGACTGAGGTATTGGCCCCCAGTTCCAATGAGTGGCATAAAGAATTCTAGCCTAAGCCTACTCATATCCCTGCCCATCTCTGTCCTTTACTAAGAGGCAGCAGTGGAAGGGAAAGCATGTGGCAACTGTGAGGGAAGGGGGTTCAAAGGTCAGCAGCACCATCAAGAGGCAGCATAGTACAGGGGAAAGAGCACTGACTCTGGTGTTGGGAGACCTACATTCAAATCTCACCTCTAACATTTACTATCTGGACAATTTTGGGCAAGTCACTCAACCCTCAGGCAAGTCTTTCCATCTGTAAATGAAGACTTAGAAAAAATGGCACCTGAGGCCCCTTCCTGCACTAGGTCAGTGATCCTATGACCTTGGTACTTTGCCATCCCATCCTGGTCACTGTTTGGGTCATCCCAACTCACATGGACAGCAAGACAAAGAATCCCTGCTCTTTCAACACAGTGTGTTCCTGGAAAATACATCATGAAGGGAATTGTCCTAAGGTTAAATAGAAGCAGGTAGGTGGCACCATGGATAGAGCACTGTACATGGAATCAAGAAGACCTGAGTTCAAATCTAGCCTCAGACATTTTCTAATTGCATGACCCTGAGCAAGTCACTTCACCTCTGCCTACATCTCCTTATCTACCAAATGGGGATAATAATAGCTTCTAACTCCCAAAGTTGTTATGAGGATAAAATGAGATAGTATTTGTAAAATACTTTACAAACGTAGATGTCTCTCCCTCTTTAATGCTGCCTCTTGGCTTCCTTCAATTCCCTGCTAAAATCCCACTTTTTATAAGAAGTCTTTCCTGATACCCCTTCATGCTAATGCCTTTCCTCTGCTGGCTATCTCCAGTTCATCTTGTTTCTATTTTATTCATACCTAGCTATTTTATGCTGTCTCCCCCATTAGATTATAAACTCCTTGAAAGAAGGAACTATCCTCACTTTTCTTTCTACCCTCAGCACTTAAGCACAATGTCTGGCACATCTCATTGTTTGGTCATTTCAGTTGTGTCCAACTCTTCATGACCTCTTTTGGAATTTTCTTGGTAAATATACTGGAGTGGTTTGCCATTTCCTTCTCTAGCTCATTTTGCAGTTGAGGAAACTGAGACAAACAGGGTTAAATGACTTGCCCAGTGTCAAACAGCTAGTAAGTGTCTGAGGCCAGATGACTCCAGGCCTGGCTCTGTATCCACTGCACCAATTAGCTGCCTGTCTGGCACATAAGTAAACATTTAATGAAAGATTGTTGACTTTACATGGCTTACACTAGTAGAGAAGGCCCAGCAATGGGACAATGGAGAAGGATTCTAGCTCCCTCCCATAAATGACCTAGGTTACAGAGGATCAAAGAGCATAACAGCTCACATTTCTATAGCACTTGAAGCATTACAAGTTATGCTGTAGGTGGTACAAGCATGATTATTCCCATTCTATAGAGGAGTAAGTGAGGTTCAGAGGGAATAGTAATAATGTATATTTTACTTAGCGTTTTAAGGCTTGCAAAGGGTTCTCCTTAGAAGAAGACTACAAGGGAGGCAGCATGGGAATTATTATTCCCATTTGGCAGATGAACAAACTGCATCCCAGAGAAAGGAAGTGACTTGCCCATGCTCATAAACAACTCAAGGCACAGGTGGAACTTCAGCCTGGTTCTTCTGTCCTGTGCTCTTTCCACCATACAAGTAGCCATAGTAGGTGGCAGGGCCTAGAATCAGGAAGATCTGAGTTCAAAAGCCACCTCAGACACTTTGTGACATTGAGCAAGTCACTTATCCTCTGCCTCAGTTTCTTCAACTATAAATTGGGGAAAATAGCACCTATCTCCCAGCATTGTTGTGAGCTACTTTGCAAACCTTAAAGTACTATATATAAGTGCTAATTATTTCCAAGAGACAATGAGGGAGACAGGATAAATCTTAGCACTCATTTCTGATTATAGTGTCCTGGGGTACAATTTTGGAATTGCAATAATCTGTTGTGGAGGAAAGGGATTGAAAGAGCCTAATTGTGGTCTAGGGCTCCCACTTTCTGTTACCTTATCTTGCAAGACCCTTCTAAACTTCGACTCAATATGGTTTTGGAAGAGGTTCAGCAACCACCTGAGGGATAAACACAAGGAAACCAAGTCAAACACAGACCAGAAAGACCTACCAAGACTGGTACTACCTGGGTGTGGGAAGGGGGAACCCAAACCATCCCCTAAACCCTATACCCTATTTGGGAAGGGCATCCAAAGGAGTTTTCCCAAATCTGATAAGTATTCAGCACCTCATACAGTGGATAGCAGTGGCAGCTGAATTAGGATGTAACACCTGGGAAGGAGGAGGAGGAGGGAAAGGGGCCACAGTTCTGCTTGTGCAAGCCTTGGGACAGGGTAATAAGAAGGCACTAAAACTAGGGAATACAGGCCAAAGACAGGCCCTTCTGACCCTGAAAATCTTCTCAATGACTTTCCCTGGAGAAGTCCAAAGTGACTGTGAGATCCCAACCCTGGCCCAGACAGAAACTACATCTGTTGCCACAGGTATCCAGCTTAATACTATGGATCCACAAAGGATTTAGAGACAGAAGGGATCTTACAGATTATCTAATCCAACCTTCTTATTTTACTTAGAAGGAAACTGAGGCCCATAGAGGAGAAGTAGTATATAGGGGGAGATCCACATAGCTATTAAGTGGCAGTGTCTATAGGATTCCCACCCAGGCCCTCTGACTCCAAATCTAGCATTCTTTACACGAGATGGTTGTAGAATGACTGACTTAAAAAAATTTATTCTCATTTCTTTTTTTTTTTTGAGGAGATGAGATACAAATCTGCGGATTGATTGCCCACCAATCCAACTCCCACAAACCTTCAAGGATCACAATACTGACTTTGGTCAACTTACACAACCCATACTGGAACAAGCATCCTCTCTTTAACACATTCAACAAATGGTCATTCAGCCTTTGTGTGAACATGTCAAGTGAGGGTATTATTTACCACCTCACAAGGCTGCTAGTCCACTTTTGGATAGCTCTCAAGAGGTTTTGTTTTTTGTTTTTTTTTTCCAGATATCCAATTTCAATTTGCCTAGTTGCAACTTTATCATCCTGGTTGCCCTCCTTTGCAGCCTAGCAATATTACTAAAATGGCATGATCAGAACAGAGCACAGTACTCCAGATATTATCTGACTAGGGCAGAGTACAAGGGGGCTATCATGCCCAGAAGCTTTGTCTCTGTTAATGCAATCAATTTACTTTCCTGTCTTTTAAAACTTCTAGTCTGTCAAAGAAACTATTGTCTAGCCATGCTTGCACACATGAGGTTGATTTTTTGAACCCAAATTTAATACTTTACATTTATCTCCATTTTATTATATTAAAATAGTTCAATATTCTACCCTATCAAGACTTTTTTGGATTCTGACTATCATCTATTATCTTAGCCACCACCATCAGAGAGGACAATCATAGCTGACCTTTGTGCTCCCATTACAAGCAAAATTGTGAGGCGGATAGACCATGACATTGACCCAAGGGATGATTCTGGAGACTCTTAAGAGTTACCTACCCAATTTTTCCAGAAACGTCGAGATCAACATCAGCAATGTGGCTGCTACATTGTTTACTGGTGACTGTGGGTCTCCCAGAACTATCACTGCTCAATCCCAGAGATACTGAAATGGAAATACCTTTAACTTGCAGATCAAAGGAACCACTTACTTTCCTAGCAGAGAAAAAAGAAGAGCAAAGGATTGGAACCAGGAATGGTTTTGCCCGGAGAGGGAGGGTGTGGTTGTGCATAATGTGTTTTGAGTATTGCTCAAGAAAAGAAAATTCCTTTTCAAAGCAAAATTTTGCTAAATTCTGCAGGGCATGGAAATGACCCCTGGATTTTCAAAAGCCATACCAGGTCAGTACTGGGAGGACCTCTGGCAGGACCAATAAAGCTAGAAAAACTTTGAGTGCAAGCCTAGTAATGATCTTTTGTCATCATTGGAGAGCCATACTAAGTTTGGAGATGCTCATTGCCAATTTGGTCACCATGGGATGATTGGTATCTTCATTAGTAGAGGGAGGGTACATTGTAGTGATATCTTGCAGCCTTGAAATATTGCCAGGGACCTAACTATAATGGACCCACTGGCCCTCTGCCCAGGGCATCATCAAAGAGAGAGGACATGATTCTTCTCTGCCGTACACATGCTAGGCAGTACAGTGATGATTGACAAAAGGCCTACATGAAGAAGAAACATATTTGCTCCTGAACCACCACCTCCAGCTTCCCTAATTCTATGGGTCCTACCACCATTATCTTCCAGGATCACCTTTCCCCATTGCCATGTCAGTGCATCTCTACCCTGGGAGCATTGATGGTGGTGGGGTATGCTAGCCTTGGGGTGCTTTAATGCTTCTGCTCTTCTCCATTCTCTGCCCCTCCAAGACAACTTTGGCTGAGGTGTCAAGAATTCCTAGTTATGGAGTCTTTGTTAGACTGTGTTTCCCAATTTTTGTTTCAGAAAATATGGTTATCATAAAATCTAGGGGCTCCATAAGCTTCCCTAACTCACCAGCCCGCCATAATTCCTGTCCCTCTTTTACTTGGTTTGGAAGAGCCAAGGGTAATGGGAAAGTGAGGGGAAGAAAGGGAGAGAACTGGTCTTGGAGACGTAGAAAGTGTGAGTTGGTGACTTAGATAAACTCTGTTAATGAGTATTAGAAGGGTCTAGGAGAAGCATCAAGATGCCAGGCCTGAAGCAAAGGCCTAGAGTGACAAATGGCAAAGTGTAGGTAATCTCTAGGCCTAGGAGGAAAATAAGATGGAAGAGAAAGGGGCATGATGAAGACCAATTTTATGGCTTTGCTGCAGGTAGGCCCTAGCTGGAACCTGGGGCCCTGCAGCCATAACACCCCATCGAGAATGATGGGTCCTACTCAGGAAGGCTTGACTAATTCCAGGAAATGTTGGTGAGCCTGAGCATTTTCAGAGCTGGGACCATGAGAAGTGCCCATGTGATATTTTCTTTGCTTCTTCCTCCATCCTGAGAAGATGAATTAGTATGGTACATAAAGTCGAGAGTCCAGGATTCTGGTCCAAGCTCTGAAGCTATTGAGCTGTGTGAACTTGGAGAATTTTTTTTTGCATCCATTTCCTTATCTGAAAAATGAGGGTACTGGACTAGATGAGCTCAAAGGTCACTTCCAGTTCTGACATTCTGTTCTTAGATCCCTTCCAACTCTGTTACTCTTTGTTCTATTTTCTAGGGTCCTTACCAGCTCTGACAGTTTAGAATTCCGTGACTCTGAATCCTCACCTCAGAGAAGAAAGAAAGGGTCACTAGAACAGAGAAACCACTGTGAAGCTAGAAGCCTGCAACAACACCCAACTTACAGAATAGACTTGCGTGCTTTCCAATCCCCGTGCACATGGATAAAGGCATTGGAGATAGATGCCTTTAGGCCTTCACCAGGCACCAGGTCCAGTTTGGAGTTCTTTAGCTCAACGCTTTGTACATTAAGGCTAGAAAAGAAAAACACATATGGTAAAGTCAAGGGAAACCACGGCACCTGGGAGTGAGGCCCGCACAGGCATAACCGGATCCTGAATTAGTCTCTGGAGGCTCATTCTGATGCCCTTCTTCCTTAAAGGGCTTTCCCTGAGGAGTTGCAGAGCCTCATTCAAGTTTTATTGCTAATAGCTTGCACAGCATGTTAATAACTCAAAGTTTTTTAGAGCTTTAAAGTTTATGAAATGAACTCTATCTTAGATGGTACTAGCATTATCATTCCCATTTTACCGACGAGGAAAGTGAGACTAGGTGATAGGAAATGACTTGCCCAGAATGACAATGAAGGCCAGTGCCAAGATATGAGCCCAGGTCAACTGAATCCAAGGCCAGTACCTGGTCCACGCTGACCCTCAACTCTATTACCCAAGCATCTCTTCTGTGCATCATTTTCTACTCCCTTGCCTCCATTGCTATTACTTTGAAATCAGGTCAGAATGAACATCTCTGAATGGGAATAAACAAGAAAATAACTCATAACAATAATGAGAACAGTTCATATTCACATTCACACTCTAACACTACAAAGTACTTCTCTTAAAATGGTAGTCCCCTTGAGTATAAGGAACAGGGAATAGTCTCACTTCATTAACTCTGGTGATGCTGGGCCTATAATTGGTAGGAGGCATATGAGCTGAATATTTTTTATAAAACCCCTCCATTCATTTTTTTAGATTCTTCTTACCCCTTTTTAACTTCCTCTTCTAAGTCTCTATCCTGCCACCAGTAGGATTCCCCAAGATGAGAGCAGATGATTACCTTCTTTCACCATAATTGAGGATGACACTGCTTTCTAGACCCTAGTCTCCCTGAGTTGGGAATTATTTACAATGGAAAGAGAAGTGTGTTTCTAAAGCTTCTTCTGAACCCTATATTCAGACAGTGACTCTAGAGAGCTCCCAAACCCAACAGGACAGGATCTTTAGTCCTCTCTCTTCCCATGGCTTCCGATGGCTGTCCAATACCATCCCACAGGTCTGTACTCACATCTCTGGGCTCCAGGCTCCCCACCTCACCTCTTGAAATGATACTCTCCACGTCCAAAATGTTTAATCTTAAAATCCCCTTTAAAATCAGGTAGAGTGATCGTCAACAGTTCCTTTTCCAAGCTGGTCACTGACTTGGCACAAGCTGCAGAGACAGAGAAAGAGTTGAGTGGTATAGGAGGTGGGTAGAGAGGACTCTAAGTGCCCAACAGAGAGGTTTGTATTTGATTCTAGAGGTAATAGAGAGCCATCGGAGTTTATTGAGTAAGGGTGGGTGTGTGGGTATATGTGTATGAATGACATCCTCAGACCTAACTGAGCTTTAGGAAAATCACTTTTGCAGCTATGTGCAGGATGGTTTGGAATCGAGGTAGACTTGAGGTAGGGAGACTGATTAGAAGGCTACCACAAAGGTGATGAGGATCTGAATGTGTGTGGTGACTATCAGAGCAGAGGGAAGGGGACATATTTGACATGGTGGGGAGCTCAGTTATCTGACTGGATAGGTAGGATGTGGGAGAGTGAGGAAGTTACAGATCCAGGTGACTAAAAGGATGGCAGTACCTTGAGCAGTAACAGGAAAGTTTTGGAGAAAGACATAAAGACTAAAGCTGGAGACATATACATATGTATGTATGTATATGTACATATGTGTACACATATAATATTATCAATATAGAGAGAAACTAGGTAGGGATATATGTGTAGATATACATACATGTATGTACACATATACATGTGTGTATATAAACATGCACCTGTATATACCTACATGTATACATGTACACATACATATATAATATATGAATATTATATTGTATATGCATATAATACATAGGTCTGGATATATCGAACCCTATTCTAGATTAGATAGATAAGTAGATAGATAAAGCAACACCTTCCCCCCTCACCCCCCCCACCCCACTCCCACCCCCCTACCCCCCCAAGGGAAATTACTTTATATTTGCTTTGCATTTAATTAAGTATGTATGGGTGGTTTCCTTTCAGTAGACTGTAAGCTCCTGGGGGGCAGAGACTGTTTCTCTTCTGTCTTTGTATCTCCAGGATCTAGCACAATATTTTGCACAGAGTAAGCACTAAATAAACATTTACTGTATTGCATTAAACTGAGGATTCAATTCAGATTTATCCTAGAATTGAGAAAAGATCTGAGGAGATAAATAAGAAATTTTGAATCAATCTGCTACCAACAAGCATTTAATAAGTGCCCACATGTGCCAGGAACGGCGCTGGGTACTAGGGATACAATAACAAAAATACAACAGTCCTTGTTCTCAAGGTTTTTACATACTCTCAGGGGAAATTCTAGTAATGAAAATAGCATAGACCTAAGGGTCAGGAAACCTGGGTTTCTAGTCCAGGCTCTGCCATTAAGTAGTTATATAGACTTGACTTCTCTATGCCTCAGTTTTTCCCATCTTTAAAATGGGATTAAATAATGATACTTATATTACCTTCCTTACATTTGGAAAACTGTAAAGGGTTATGGAAATGTGAGCTAATGTGACTGCTGTGATAACAATAATAATACCTTATATTTATACAGTACTGTAAGATGATTCTGAGCAAGGAACCCAATCACTTTATCCATCCTGCAAATGTGGACATGCTGCCTCCCAACAGGAAAGAGAAAGGACAGGAGAGAAGGAAAAGATCCCATAATAGTAGTATGGGGGGAAGGGACCTCTGTGTCCAACTCTGTCCTAGCTGATTGCTGAGAAAATCTCACCCTGTCCCCCTTCACCACTGGGATTGCTGTCCAACAAGGCTAATATCTAACCACCTTCCCTGCTCAACCCTCACCCATTTTGTATCCTAAAGCTGTAGTCCAAAGTATTCTGTACCTTTGATGGTCTAAATTCACGTCCATTGGGGCAGTTAGGTGGCGCAGTGGTTAGAGCACCGGCCCTGAAGTCAGGAGGACCTGAGTTCAAATCCGGCCTCAGACCAAACACTTGACACGTACTAGCTGTGTGACCTTGGGCAAGTCACTTAACCCCAATTGCCTCACCAAAAATAAATAAATAAATGAATGAATGAATGAATGAATGAATAAATAAATAAATAAATAAATAAATTCGCATCCATTAAGAGCTCAGGGCTAGAAGTCAGAGAATCTGGGTTCTAATCCTACCTCTGACACTAAGTCAATGTGTGACTTTGGACAAATCTCTTCCCCTCTCCAAGGCAAAATTTCCTCTTCTGTAAAATGAAAGAATTAGACTGCAATGATCTCTGACATCCCCTCAACCTCTGACAATCTGTTTTCTAAGGTGGGAAAGGCAAACTACCAGCTGGCAACTGGAGGAGCCAGGTCATTGCTGGGATGCTGTCCAATTACTGCCTTGGAACACTGCCTTCTCCTCTTCCTCCTCCTCCTCTTCCTCCTCCTCCTCTTCCTCCTCCTCCTCATCTTCCTCCTCCTCCTTCTCTGTCTCTGGCTGTCTTTCTCTCTAGACTCTTCTCTTTTTCTCTACCTTCACCTAGTCATTCCTTTATTTCAACAAAAGTCTCTGGGAAGATTAATCCTGTATTTTCTATCCCTCAGGTTAGCTTCCATCCATCACAAAGCAGTTAATGAGAATTGCTAGTTATTTGTATAACCCTGTAAGGTCTGCAAAGTGTTTTACATGCTATCTCATTTTATTCATCCAGTGGTCTAAACCCGAAAAAATGGCTTCCCTTGAGTTCTTAGATCCCCCCTTTTCCCCCTCTCTCAAGATGTTGGTGCACAGATCATCAATCTTCATTGGACAGGAGAAACTCAGAAATGAGGAGGTGACTGATTGAGGACCATGAGATTTAGAGTTGGAAGGGCCTTCAGAAGTCATCTAAACCAACCTTCTCACATTACAGATGAGGAAACTGAGTGCCAGAGAGAGAGTCAGGGAACCAGTAAAGATAATACAGCAAGCAAGTGAGTGGAAGAGCCAGGATTCAAATCCAGCCCCCTGACTCCAGAGTTAGGTCTCATGCTACCTTCTTAAGGTACTAGCTAAGTATTCTGAGTTAAGTAGGAAAAGGAACAAGCATTTATTAAGAGCCTCCTATGTGTCAGGTACGGTGTTCCATGCTTTACAAATGTCATCTTATTGGACCCTCACAACAACCCTGGAAGTTATGTGTTATTATTATCTCCAGGGTCACACAGCTAGTGAGAGCTTGAGGCTCGATTTGAACTCAATTTGAACTCAGGGCTCCCTTTGTTCTATCCATTGCACCACCTAGCTGTGCTAAGTAAGGCACTAAATTACCCGAGAGGGCTAATAAGAGGATCAACTGCAATATCACACACTCAGTCAATGAGACTGGAACCAGATTCTCCCAACAATTTGTCTAGTGAAGTAGCCCCAGAAATTTATCATATATTTCTATAGCAACCTTGTAGGGACAGGTATTATAACTCCCATTTTACAAATGAAGAAACTGAGGTTCTGAGAAGGCAAGTGGCCTGCTTTAATCAAGCTAGTAAGTGGCAAAGCTGGGACTAGAACTCAGGCCTCCTGATGCCAACCCTACCACATCCCTTGAAGGGGCTACCTGTGCAAGTTAGATGTAGGAAGCCCTGAAAGATGCTCCAGTTCCTTACCATAATTCAGGCCCTTTTGGGTGATCCTGGCCACGATTCCTGGATTGCTGGCATCAACCCTAGAACACAGAACCTCCAAGAGCAGCAGTAAAGACACCAACACCCAGCTCTGGGCCCTCATCATCGTTTCAAAATCGTTCTTTGTGGTAAGGAAGTTAAGAGGACTGCTGGTGTCTCCCTCAGTGTAAAGAGAAGCAGAAGAGGACTGTCATTTATAGCAGGGCAGAGGAGGGAGGGCCTTCCCGAATTGCTCTGGAAGTTCCAAAGTTCTGAAATGAAAGGGAAAGGGTGAGAATAGGAGGGAGAATCAGGGGGAAATAAAGGGAAAGGGTGTATTTGTGCTCTGGGAGTTTACTTAGCACCTTGCTAGTTTGGCCCTGAGGCCAGAGGCTTTGTTTGCTTTGGCAAAAATAGTTCCCATAATTCTCCTGTCCTTAGGCAACTTCTCGTTAGCAGCTGGGAGGGAAACTGGAGAAGAGAGGAGTGAAGTTCAAAACTTCCCTGCAAGCATCAGAGACTATCAGGACTTCAGCCCGGGCCCCCTGTTTCAGAATCGGAATCTCAAAATCTCAAAGTTGGAAGGGACCTCAGAGACCATCTCTTGTAACGGAAACCAGCAAGAATCCCCTCAGCAAAGTAACTGGCAAATTTGCCCTGCAGTTTTTGCCTGAAGGCCTCCAGCAATGGGGAACTCATTTCCAGAAGCCTATGGTAGTCCAATGTACTTAGATGGCTTTAATTTGTAAGATTTTATTCTTGTCTCCATGAAGTCTAAATCTGTCTCCTCCCTCCCTATTTCCCATCTCCTATAAAATGGAAATAATAACACAACTCCCAGGGCTGTTGTGAGTCTCTGTTGAGATAACATGTACAGTACTTTGCTAACCTGCTAACCTTTGTAAGTACTATATAAATGCTATTGTTAGTATTTATATGTACAAATATTATCTCTTTACTTCCTCACCACAACCCTGGGAATTAGGTGCTATTATTATCCCCATTTTACAGTTGAAGGAACTGAGGTAGATAGGTTAAGTGATTTGCCCAGGGACACACAACCTTGAGGGCTTGAAGTCTAATTTGAAACCCTCCCCTCTCCCTACCACCACCACTCACATATCCATTGTTCCTAGTTCTGAATTGTGGCCAAACTGAACAATTCTTCCACACAAAGGCCCTTCAAAATCCTTGAACATTTGTTAGCCAAGCTAATAAACCCCAGTTGCTTCAGCTGTTTCTCATTTGGCAGGGACTCTGGGTCCTTCACCATTGTAGTTGTACTCTTCTGGATAGCAATAGCAACAACAATAATAATAAATTAATAATGATAATAACTAACATTTACAAGGCTATTAAAATTTTTAAGTTTTGCAAAGTGCTTTATGTGGGTCATCTCCTTTGATGCTTACAACTCTTCAAATAAGTTACTATTCTTATCCTCATCTTACAGCTGAGGAAACTGAGGCTGAAAGAGATTAAGTGACTTTTACAGGGTTATCCACAAAGCAAATGTCTGAGGGGGATTTGAACTCAGGTCTTTTTGACTCCAAGGACAGCATTCTTTGAACTTCGTCACCTAACTGCCTCAATAATAAGAGTAATTACTAACATCATTACTCGAGAGATTCTTGAGTTTTCATTCTTCCACATGGGTTTTATTATTTTTTCTAGCTCTGTTTTGGCAGTTTGGCATGGCACTGAATAAGTAAATTAATTTAGATAGTATTGTCATTTTAATTATATTGGCTTTAGCAATTGATGTTTCACCAATTACTTATTTCTTAATTTTTGCGGAGTGTTTTATAGTCAGATTCATATAGTTCTTAATTGATCTGTGTGGATCCACTCTCAAATATTTTATAGCCTCTGTAGCTATTTGTAATGGGATTTCTTTTTCTAGATCTTCCTGCTGGGTTTTATTGGTTTTATATAGGAATGCTGATGATTTATATGGATTTATTTTATATCTTACAACTTTGCTGAAGTTATTATTTCAATTAATTTTTGTTGATTCTCAAGAGTTCTCTAACTATACCATCATACCATCTGTAATAATAATAGCAATAATAATAATAGCTTTCATATAGTACTTTAAGGTTGGCAAAGCACCATACATGTCATCTCATTGGATCCTCACTACAGTCCTGGGAGGTAAATGATAATATAATTTCCATTTTACAGATGAAGAAACTGAGGCAAGGAGAAGTTAAGTGACTTGCCTAGGGTCATAAAGCAATTATTATACATCTGAGGTAGGACTTTAGATGTAGCTATTCACCCAGTTCCAAATCCACCAGGCTGTATTATTGTATATCTCTTGATCTTGTCCACAAGAATAAGATAAACATTTCTTGTAAATGCTTTACTAAAATCCAGATAAACCCTATCCAAACTGCACCAGAGTGAGAGAGCTCTCTATTACACTGCAACAAGTAGTTGAAAACCTTTGGCGAGGGGGATCATCGACTAACTTCCAACGACCCTCATTCATTCCACTTCAGGACAGATCTCACTATTCTGAGGTTTTTCCTCTTACCTGTAACCTCCTCCTCCCTGGTACTATCCCCCCTCCCCAACTTTCACTCAAAGGCTGAGTCTCCAGAGAGGTAACTGCCTGGGATTCAAGGTACTCTGTGGGTTCATACTCTAGCTCACAAGCTTCTACCAATTAATTATCTTTTAATAGTCAGCCAGTGAACACAGCCCAAAGCAATTTACTGAGGTAGCACCATAAGAATAATTAGAAACTGAACATACCCCATCCCACCATCCACAAACCAGGGCATGTTGTCCCACAAACACACACAGAATCAGTAGAAAAAAGAAGGCAAACCCTTAGAGTATCATAGCACAGAAGTACATACTTAGGGAACACTTGTAACTCAAGGTAATCCACATCTCTCTATCACTGTAGGACCCCAATATTCTTTCTCCATTCTTTCACCTCATGACGCTTCCCCTGGGAACTGCCTCTCTAGGGGAAGGTCCCTTAGCTCAGCTCTCAGGGCCTTTTCTTCTCTGTAGGTCCACTCCTGATGGCCAGGGCTGGCTCTCCCCTTGACTCAATTGAGAGGAGAGGTCACGCATCTCAGAGCTGTCTCTCTCCTTGACTCTGGGGATGCTCCCTGCTGGGTGAAGTGTCTCCTATTAGAGTTCCCCATTAGCTCCAGGATCAAGTATAAAATCCTCTGTTTGGTCTTTGCAGTCTTCTTATAACTTAATTATTTCCACATATTCTACATTCTGCTCACACTCCAGTGCAGCCTTCACTGTTCCTCTAACAACACATTGCATTTCCCAACTCAGGGTGTCTTCACTGGCTCTCTCCCATGTTTGGAATGTTCTTCCTTATCATCTCCCCTCTCCTAGATTCCCTGGACTCCTTCAAGTCTCAGCTAAAATCCCAGCTTCATCAAGAAGTCTTTCTCTATTGTCCTCTATATTAGCACTTTCCCTCTGAGGAATAGATCTTTTTTGTATCTAATTGTTTGCAAGTTGTCTTTCCATTAGATTGGGAGGCCCTTAAGAACAGAGGCTTTTTGTTGCCTTTCTTTGTATCCTTAATGCTTAACACAATGCCTGACACATAGTAGGTACCAAATAAATGTTAGTTGACTGACAAAAAATAATGATAAAAAATATCATTTTATATTATTATGATTGATTATTTTTGCTAATTAAAAATATTAGCCCTGTTTTAAAGATGAAGAAACTGAGGTTCAAAGAAGTTGTCATCTGGCTAGTGAGAGTCAGAGCCATGGTTCAAATTCAGGCCTGTTTTTGCTATACCAGCCTGCCTCTCCAAAAAGATAACACTGATAGCTAGCTTTATAGAACTTTAAGGTTTACACAACACTTTATATCTGCTATCTTTTTTGGTCCTCACAACAACTCTATGATGTAGATGCTATTATCCTCATTTTTACAGATGAGGAAACAGAATCTGAGAGACATTAAGTCTTTTGTAAACCTATGCAGGAAGGGAGGTCCTTGCAAGTATACTGACTCCGGGCATGCCTGCTTTGAGTGGTTTTTCTGTAGTGGAAATGGACTTCTTACAACAGTCCAAGGCCCCCTGCCCAAACCCTGATACCAAACACATGACACCTGGCTAGGCCTGACCAGAGGCAAGGGAATAAATAGTCTTTGGCCTCTGAACAGGGCTGAAACCAAGGCACAGAACCTGTGACCTTGATTTGATTTGCCCGGACTGACTAAGGAACTGGCCAAACAGCTACTGAGAACAGTCTAAGATAATGCCCAGATCTCCTAGGGTCTTGAGGGGCTTTCATTTGGCCCCAGCTGGTGCTTAGGGAGTCAGTCAACCTTTTCATACCTTTTCTTGAAATCAGTCTCTTATTTTCATTAATATTTATAGTTATTCCTAGTTTTTATAGTTATCTTAGGCTAGTTGTTTCTATTTTCAGGTCCTGTAAGGGCTCACAGGATGAGTCCAAGTCTATCCTCATAGGCTATAAGATGTCAGTGCTGGGAAGGCAATTAGAGTGTAGAGCATAGAACATTAGAGCTGGAAGGGACCTCAAAATTTAGAATTCCAGAGTTGGAAGAACCATCAGAGATGCCCTAATCTTGTCCATTCCCCTTATTTTGCAGATGAGGAAAGGAAATGTCATATACTAGAAATGACTTCCTGGGGCAGCAAGGTGGTACAGTGGATAGAGTACCCACCCTGAAGTCAGGAGGACCTGAGTTCAAATCTTGTCTCAGATCAGATACTAGATACTTACTAGCTGTGTGACCCTGGGCAAGTCACTTAACCCCAGTTGCCTGTCCAAAAAAAAAAAAGTGACTTTCCTTGACACAGCAAGTCAGCAGCAGAGATAGGACTGGACCCTGGATCCCCCGAATTCAAGCCCAGTGCTTTATCCATTACACTAAACTGCTGGCTGCTCCTTTCTGTTTAGCCTTACTTCTCCTTCAACTAAGGCTATCTATTTTGCACTAAACACTGCCAGTTCAAAGTACTTCACAGGATGACTGGAAAGGATAGGGGTTCAGAGGAGAGACAATACCTCCCAAATCACAAAGCCACTCCTGCTCAATTAGGGAGGATAGGGTCTGGGCTCAGGTACAAAAAGCATGTTATCCAATATGACTGTATTCCAGTCCAACTGAAGAAATGCTAAGAGTCTTAGAGCAGGGGATGGAGAAGCAGTGAAGAGAAACAGTTTTTCCT